ATGCACCACTGTGCCTGGTTAATGTTTTCTTTTTGTTTTCTTTTATTTTTTGTAGAAATGGGATCTCACTGTGTTGCCCAGGCTGAGCTTTAACTCCTGGGCTCAAGTGATCCTCCCCTCTTGGCTACCCAAAATGCTGGGATTACAGTTGTAAGCCACCACACTTGTCTCAGATGTTTTAACTGGTGAATTCTACCAAATTTTTAATTTAAAAAATATACTAATTCTCTACAGTATCCTACAGATTATCCTAACACCAAAACCAATAAAGATCAGTTTTTATTATAGAAATAAAAACTAAAGTCTAACATCTTTAATGGACATAGATGCAAAAGCAGTCAACATACTATTAGCAAATTGAATCCAACAATTCTATCATTACCATGATAAAGCAGGATTTATTTCAGGTATGCCAGACTGGTTCAACATTCAAACATCAATCAATGTAATCTGCCACATCGGCAGACTAAAGAAGAATAATGAAAGAAGAAAAAGCATTTGAGAAAATGCAATACCCAATCATGATAAAAATTCCCAGAAAACGAAGAATAGCTGGGAACTTACTCCACCTGACGAAGAGCATGTATAAAATACTAAGACCTAACAATATATTTGACAGTGAGACACTACGTATCTTCTTTCTGACATGGAGAATAAGACAATGATGTGTCATTCAATCACGTTTACTCAGAATGGTACCGAAAGTTCTAGCTAGGTCAAAAATACAAGCAAAATAAATTAAATATATACAAATTGAGAAGAAAAAATAAAACTGTCTATGATTCATATACAGATGACATGATTTTTATATATATATATATATAAACAAACAAAAATGTCCTGAAACCAGTAAGCAAGTGTATCAAGGTTGTAGAATAAAAAGTTAATGTACAAAAGTCAATTGCACTTCTAAATACTAGTAAAGAATAATTATCACTAAAAAAATGAAAAACTGAAATAGGTAAATTTACAAGACAATATGTACAGTATCTGTATAGAGACACTGTAAAACATTGAAGAAAAAAGAAAACAATCTAGGCAAAGGGAGAGCTATTACCTGTTCATGGATTGGAACACTCAATATTATTAAGTTGTCTTATTTATTTATTTACTTATTTTTGAGATGGAGTCTTGCTGTGTCGCCAGACTGGAGTGGAGTGGCATGATCTCAGTTCACTGCAACCCGCACTTTCTGGGTCCAAGAAATTTTTCTGCCTCTGCCTCTGCCTTCTGAGTAGCTGGGATTACAGGCACGCACCACCACATCTGGCGAATCTTTATATTTTTCATAGAGATGGGGTTTTGCCATGTTGGCCAAGCTGGTCTTGAACTCCTGACTTTGGGTGATCCACCTGCCTCAGCCTCCCAAAGTGCTGGGATTACAGGTGTAAGCCACCATGCCTGGTCCAGTTCTTTCTAACTTTATCTATAGATCCAATGCAACTCCAACAGACTATTCTGTTGATATCAACCAACTGATTCTAAAGTTTATATAGAAAAACAAGAGACCCAAAAACAGCCAACACAATGTTGAAGAAAAACCAAGTTAGATTACTGACTACCGAATTTCAAACCTTACTATAAATCTACAGTAATCACATCAGTGTGGTTTTGGTGACAGAATAGACACATACAGCCGTGAAACACAATAGAGATCCCAGAGGTAGATCAACATGAAAAGTCAACTGATTCTTGACACGGTGCAGTGGTCAATTGATGGAGTTTGTCAGGAGACACGCCCCGTACAGTGCATCCACGTGAGTAGTCCCCATTGTTTGACAGCATCAGTTCCACTTGCCCGTGAATATCTACATACACAAACATGACATTCGGTGTCTGATTTTAGGGAGCTGCCATATTTAATATGTGTGAGCTGATTTTAGGGAGGTGCCATATTTAATATGCATAACTGAGGTAAATTATTAACTTTACAGATATTAAATAAGGTTAACTTTCTTCAAGATGTTTGTTCTAGAAGAACCAAGAGTCTCTGCATACAATGGCCTGTGGTTTAAGGCCAGGTGTTCCCAAACTTCAGTGTGCATCAAAATATCAAAATTACCCGGAAGACTGGTCAAACAACATGTTGCTCTCACACCTGCATTTCCGAATTAGCAGGTGGGGCTGGAGAATTTACATTTCTAACAAGTTCCCAGGGAAGCTGAGTTGCTGGCCCTAGGACCAGGCCCTCAATTCCACTGCTTTGGCCTTGAAGCAGAGGGGGAGCTTGGAGCAGAGCACCAAACTAGCACCTGAAAAAGCCACAGTGGACACACTGAAAGCAAGACAAGCCCTTTGCTTGATAAACTGCATGATTCAGAGCCAGTTTGGTATTGAAAACAAAGCAACAAACGGCACAATGAGGGCATCTGGCCACGGGTGACTTTTATGTTACGTAAAATATCTGAAGTTTAGGACCAATTTGCAATGAGAGATCACAATTTTTCGAAATATGATTTCTATCATTTATGTTCATTATCCTCTGTGCCTGACTTCTACAGAAAGGTGAACTAATAAATGAGTGTATTTTAAACCAATAAATGTATGTGAACTTTTCAGGCAGCAACAGAAATCCAGCAAAGGGAACAACTAGAGCACGCATTACTGAAGCTAAAGCTAACTTTTATCAGGAAGAAGATATTTTTAGATGAATTTACACAGTTTACAAATTCCAAAAGGCATGAACTTTCCTTTGGAGATACAATCTTTCTACTTCATTTGTAATTGTCAAATATAGGAAAATCACATTTCAATTTTGAGCATTTAATAAGAAACTGCTAAAATGTAGATATTCCATTCAAAGGTCTCTTAGTAAGCCACTAGCATTATCTGGATTAGGGGCTACTTCCTCTGTTGTTAACATAAATAGGTGGTAAATACCACAGACTAGGCTGGGATGTGGGAAGCAGCTCTAGGCGTGTGCCAAAAGGTACTCCTTTCTTGGTCAAGGTGGCACAGCCACATCCATCTATCAGAAGCAGCGTATTTGAAACAATGTCCCAAAGGAAGAAGACAGGTGCTGGGAGGCAAGGGAGGCCTAAGGGCTCCGTGAGATTCCCAAAGTCAGGTTTTGCAAATAGATGGAGATGGAGATAGAGTTTCCTTCCCCTCACACTAAATATGGGAAAGATAACGTCATGTGCAAATGTTTCCACAAAAAGGGAACCTGGTGAAAGAAGCTGAAGAAGTAGGAAAGGAAAGAAGGAAACCAGGGAGAGGGAGAGAATAGAACGGAGATTGCTCCTGAGAGGGACAGGAGGGGCAGAAGGAGCAAGTCCACAGCCAGCGCTGCCTCGCCAACTTCTGTGCTGCTTTGGGCTCACTGCCTGTGGACTAAGCCCAGGGTTTTGTTGTTTTATTTTTCTTCATAGGACCTAGCAACCTATTAAATATATGTTGAATTGGGCATGAGGACTAAGGAGGAAGAGGAAGTGGGAGAAAGAGAGATACTAAGAATGAATGGGTAAGAGAGAGAGAGTCTAATTTAGAGTTAGAGTTTGCAAGATGTTGTTGGCAGCCACCATTATGGTTGCTAATTTTCTTCTATTGAAAACACACACACACACAAAACACAAACAATCTTCCAATTCACCTGATACCTGAAGTCCAATAATTTATCATGATGTGGGACTGGGCCACTTGGGGTTTTAGCACCCAGCATTTTTTAGTGACCGAAGTAATGAAAATGACTAAAGTAATTGAAGTAATGAAAATTTAATCAGGCCCACAAAAAGAAGTTTGCAGAAGCAATGAGTGGCTCGAAGGACATTGTGGCCAGCTGCTGACGCCTAGAATTCTGGTTACTGAAGGTGTCATCTAAGATTGAAGAAACATAGATTTTTTTTTTCCGATTCCTTGAAACTTCCCTTCCCTTACTCTCCAGCTGCACTAAAACTCCCCACTGCTGCTTTTTGTGGAGGTGGATTTGGGAGCTCTTGCCTTCTTACCTCCTCACTTTGGCCAAATAGAATAAGCGTTTCTGTATCTCCAAGCACCTGTATATGAGTGTCTGGCCTCAGTTGCATATCAGCCACACAGGTCTGAGTTTGGGCTTCTACCCCTGACTTACAGCCTAGGATTTCATACAGCAGGAGTGGAGAGGATAACACACTAGTCAACAAGCCCGTTCTCTGAGATTATTTTTTACCTATTTTTAAGACTTTTTGTCTTAGGGTTGCCTAAGGAATAAGTTACCACTTTTAGTGAGGGAATAAGGCAGTTTAGGACCAGCTGAGAAAAGCAGAGGTGAAGAAATAATGAGGACTAAATCTGAGCCTAATTCACAAAGTCTTCTTGGCCCCAACTCTAAGACCTTCCTCCAAATCATCAAATGGAGCAGGGTGATGCTTGTTTTAGGCAACCGGCGAGCGTCCAGGGACACGTGAAGATAGCCTTGCCCACATTGCTTTCATGCCCTATATAAACCAAGCTTCCCCAAAGAGCCCTTCCTTTCCTATCCTGATGTGAACACTGACTGAGATAAACTCTAGCAAGGTGAGAGAATTGTTCCTTACAATAAGTGTAATCTCAAAGGGTAAAGTACCTCATTAACCTGGCCGCTTAAGGACAATAAACTACACAGCGCTTAAGGAAACGGACACATAGTTAAGAAATTAAATAACATGAATTACTAGCACCTGTAACCTAAAGATGCCAGAAGGGATAAAATAAACCCTTGAATGGGATACATTTTGGGAGGAATTCTAAGGAAACCCCACTTTTCAAAGAGCAAATTTAACTGTTTCAGAGCGTATTAAAAGAAAAGATGTCAAATTAAAGCAAATGAATTCGTTTCCTATGAAAACAGTCACATCTTACCAAATTAGAAATTATTGTAAGTAAGTAATTGAATCATTTAGACTTCTTCCTGTGTAACTGCTTAACTTACCTCCAAAAGTCCTGACTGTTGAGATGTCTGGTCTTCTGCAAACAAACCATGTGAAAATGGATTCATTGACTCACAAGTTACAAAACCTTCAGGCGAAATGATCCACAATTAGCAACTGGGTCATTGTTACAGGCAGTCTGGGGGAATGAAATGAAATTTTCATCAACATTTTACATGATTCACTCTCCTTAACCTTGAAGAGTGGCTCCATGCTTTTGAGTAACATTGACAAAGGTGATTGACAGAGACATATTTCTTTTTTCCGAAATATCAATGAAATTGTTGTAAGCAAGCTCAAGTCTGAATCCTGAATTAACATCTCCTCAATTTCCCACTCTAAGATTGGCATGATCGGTGGTAAAGCGGGGATGAAGAGACTGGTTTTTAGGGGGTGGTGGCAGTGCTGTTTTCCCAGGAGGTCTGTTGGGGAGGACCTGAGAGTGGAGAAGGCATCAGAGGAGAGGTAGCTCTGCTCTGCCCTGTCTGCCGATGGACCCTAACCCTGCAGTGGGGGACACCAAACCCATTTTGGGGTCCCTAGGGTTTTCTAGACACCATCTCCTCTTCCTTGCCATTGTCCACTTTCTTACTGGCCATCTGAATTTGTACATAGATAATACATAAGTTTTACCAAACAATTACCCTCTGGGCAGGCAGCAGAACACCAAAGCCTGTCTGAGTCTCCCAGGGGAATTACAGCACAAAGTTAGGGCCTTCCTTAAGGTCTTTGGCATCTGTCCCTGGATAAGGGAGGAAGCCAACAGTTTCAGGTGCCCTGTGCAGCTCACTGACATGAACTAACGTTTTATTTAAACTGTCCCCAGTCTCCTTGTCGGAGGAAATTGTGCCTAAGGAAGCATGGTGTTATGCTCTTTCTTATGAACTCATGAAAGGAACAAATGATGATATATGGGGCTCAAATCAAAAATTGATGAGAAAAAGTCCAGGAGTCAGGTTTCACTTGAAGGAACCTGTGAAGAGGTGAGAATTAGAACATTGGAAATAATGTTTTCACCCCAGCGATGTGGGCTTTTTGTTCCTATAACTCCTTCTTAACACGTTCACCATTACCTATGCTAATAAACATTTTAAAAATATGTATTGTATTTGAGTAGATCTTAAATTGTTTTGTGAAACTCAGACTCCTGATGGTTCCTGCAGAGGACTTGTTTGCAAACACAGGTGAGCTCCGCTGTGGATCCCTAAGTACAATTAGAGGAGACTTTGCGAAGCCCTTAACAATCAGTTGCATACATTCTTATGAATTTATCTTTTTTTCAAAAATTTTATCCCATTGTACATCCTGTGCTTTGTTTTACAAGCATCGATACGTTTACTAAATATTACTATTTGGAATATTACTCTGAATATTCCAAAAAGCAAACAAACCAAGTTTTCTTTTGACTTATAAATCATCAGATCTCACCTTTCTCAAGACCCACAAAATTACAAAACTAACCTGTAGGCTGAGATGCGACCAGTGCCTGGGTCAGCCTGACCGAGGCTGCCAGGACACTGGAGGCCACACTGTCCGCTCTGAGTGTGCCCTGAAGTTATCATGCCTGGACATAGGAACCAGTAGAACCCTGGAGACAGCACTGTGTCCCCACAGAACCACCGAACTGCTTCTTCCCTCTCATCCTGGAGTCACTTTCCAGTTCACCCACATGATCGGCTGAGCTTACACTGGAGTTTCCTGGGGGGCACATGATACATACAAGGGCACCCCCATCAGGCAGCCACTCACTTATTGTCCTGCTCAGCCCTTGATAGCCCTGCTTCTAGGCTGGAAATCCAGATTTCCAACCTGCTCTGGCGTTGAACCCCAATCAAGAAGGAGCCCTGGAGTCCAGCTCTTCCCACAGAGGCCTGCGGCTGCACCTCCCTCAGTACCACCCTGTGGACACCCTGCAGCTGGCCAGTTCCTCCTCAGCCTTTTCTTGCTCAGGTGTGGCCTGGCCCAGCACTGCCTCCTTGGCTCCAGAACCCCCTCCTCTATGGACCCATGCTCCTCGGATCTGGCATCCTGAGTGGAGCCCAGCCTCATCAGGACACTGGACTTGGTCCCTGAAAGCCGAGCCAGGGCAGCTGCACCCTCACCTGGGAGGGCAGCCAAGGTCTTGGAGGGACTGTAGCTTCTCTGTGGCAGGGAGGGCATGGAGAGAAGCCTCACAGGCAGCCCCGTCTCCCCATGCCTGCCCTCTTCTCCCCATGCCTGCCCTCTTCTCCCCATGAACCTTTCCCCTGAATTCTGCTGAAGTCCAGGCCTCAAAAAGGGCACTGTCTATGTATTTCCCCCTTTGTTTCCCTTTGCTTATAGAAAACCCCGAGTCTACCTTGGGCACACTCTTAAATGTGACCTGTCTAATGTCATCTTGGCCCCATGTCCACTTCTTTCAGGCACGCCTCCTTCTTCGTTTCGCTGCCGCCAGGGCATCTTCCTCCAGAACCTCTTCCTCTATGTGGCAGAGGCCACTCTCCTTCTAAAGCAAACCTTGCTTCCATTTGCTGGAAAACAGAAGCTGCTGACCCACAGAGATCCAAACTCCACAGGTGGTTCATCACCACCTTTACCCCATGATTTGTTTCCAGTCTTCCTCATAGCATATCCCCCTACCCTACCACCTGCATGATTAGATTTCTCTGAAAGAGCAGAGATCCACCGTAATGGCAGCTCCAGTAGGAAAGCTGATTTCTGTCTTCTAAGAGAGTCTGCAGTGTGGCAGTCATGGGTTCAAGGTAAGACTCTGCTGCATTAGGAGTCTGGGGATGAGACTCCTTCCTTACTCTTCTGTCTCCCTAGAAGATGCCATCCTCCTGGGCCTTCAGACAGAAGCCAGTGTGGGATTTTGTTATAATCCACAAACTCCTACGTTGGCCAAGAAATAAAGAAGTGCAAAAAGGAATGCACAGGAATGGCTTGAGCAATGGAGGAGATGATGCCAAGCAGCCATGTGCAAGAAGGACCTGGGGAGCCCCCGGGAGGGCTTGGTGGTCAGCGGTGAACACAGGGTGGACAGTTTGTCCTCAGAGCCCAGTCACCAGGTGCATCCATTTCACAGGGTTGGGGCCCTAATCTCTCTGTGCAAGGAGAGCATGTGGTTGGACTGGTTTGGGTCTCACCCTTGGCAAGATAGGACATCCCACTTTGATGGCTCTTCACCAGGACTGCACATGATTGGAGCTATGAAATTCTCCAAAGCAAAATTAGGGTGCTGCTGGCTTGCAGAATTGAGGTGTATGCCTCCCAGGAGGAAATGCACTGCTCACTAGAGATGGACAGTTCAGCAGACAGCTGGGCAGGACATTATCCCTGCAGCAGGAGTTGGTAAATAAATGGGCAGGCAGAGTGGGTAGGGAAGGAGTGGGGAGCTGAGGAGCTCGCTGGAGTGAGGTGAGATGGCTCATGGGCACAGGGCAATAACTCAGCCGGAAGCCAAAAAAATAGCCTTAGGCCACACCAAACAGTTTTGATGTCTTGCGTATAGTGGGAGGCCACTAAAGGTAGATGGCAAGCAGACATGTAAGCTCATTTTGATAGATATTTGTAGGGTAGAATGAAGGGAAGAAAGACTGGTTACAGGGAGGCCACTTAGGAGGCGATCATGATAATCAAAGAAGACTCAAAAAGTCTTAAGCCAAGGTAGAGGCAGTGGGAATGATAATGCTGAAAATAGATTTATTATGGAAAGGGGAATTATCTTTTCCAGTGAAACCATTTCTCTGTTGCCCAAACTCAGTGCTGCCACTTGTTACCACACAGACTGTGCAAGACACACGGAAATGAATGGCTCCCCTGAAGTTGTGGAACGTGGCAGCCCTGCCTGGAGCTTCTGACATATGCAGGAGAATAAATATCCAGTGCTTTCTCACAGAGCTCTCCAGTGATAGGATAAATCACACTTCCCAGCAAAGCAAAGGAAGAAAGCCAAAAATATTGAAGGCAGGCAAGAAGGGACCAGCAAACAAAGGAAAAATAAAACCATAAGAAGGATTTTATATTCTGAAGATGATGGATCTTGAGCCACAGACAGAAGAGATGGATAGTTAGAAGTAGAGCAGCTGCAGAAAGAGGAAATCAGCAATGCATGTTTAATTTAACAGTTCAGGAAATCCAGTTACCATTTGTATTCAAGCATAGTGGTGTGCTCTGCTATTCTCAAGAAATTATTTCCATTTAAAAGTCCCATTATTTGACTGTATCACGATGGACATGGCTACCCATCGGCCATTCCCGTGTCCTTCTCCAGTGCCTTCCTCCAGCTACTGAGGCCACAGAACCAGGCACCCTCTTCCCAAACATTCTGCAGCTGGGAGGGGCCCTGTGGTCCCATCACATGGAGAGTGAAGGGCAGGGTGCCAGGCTGGTGGGAAAGATGTTCTTTCTCTGTAGAAGAGAAGAGCTCTCTCCTTGCCCTTGTATCCCAGCTTCCTGCCTTGGCATGTTGAGATGTGAGAAACCACTTTGCACCCATGAGAGAGAAGGAGGAGAGCTATAGAGATGCTGCCCCACGTCCTGTCATCATGGGACTTTGGAGAACACTTGGAACCACCTTCTCTCTCTTCAGGTAAACAGTGTATGCTCTTAGAGTTTAAGCTGCTGCTCCCTGGATTTTCTGTTGCACACAAATGAAGACATTGAGTTGATGCAGTTTGAAGTGAAGGGTATAAACACATTGTTTGTATAACAAGTGCTTGAATGGACATGATTCTATAACAAGGCCTATTATTTAGGATTACATGTTATTAAAACTAGATAAGTTATTCACTTTATATTTTACAGAAAATATATACTTGAACAAACCCAATTATATGATCAGCCATCTGATGATAAAATGTACTCAAGCAGTAAAGAAATGTTACTAACCATTTCTTCTGGATGTTACTCCCTGGAAAAAAAAGGGTAACATTTATAGAATTGATGAATAATTATAGTATTAAATAATTATTTTCAACATCTCAATAGAAATTATTTATTCTCTTCTCTTAATTTTTGATAGTTATCCAACATTTCAATTTTTATAAAACAACCACAACTTTTTCATCATGTAAGTTTCAATGGTTAGTTATTTATTAATTGATGCTTTTTCCATTTTCTAATATATGACAAGTATTTTGCTTCAGGAAGCGATATCTTTATCTCAGATTTCTTTTTTCTTTTCTTTATTTCTGAAATGAAATTACTGGGAGCTGGCGTATCAAAGATCTTCTGACCTTAAACAATTAGACAAACTAATTACAGTTAAGTTTTTAAAAGAGCCGGTATTTAATTTCCACAAATCTCTATGTTGCCATATTCTTATAAGTTGTTTCATGCCCCATCATTAGCAGGCAGTCTGTGACAAGAGATTCCTTCCAGGCATTGGGATGAATGAGCCTTGTAAGATGTGATTCTACAGATTGAGTACAAATTTACTTCAAATTTCGTTGACCCATTGTCTTACCGGTCAGTTTCATGAATTATCTTACAGGACGATTCATGAAATAAACAGGGATTTAAAAGTTTCTGTTAGGTCTTGGCACAAGTAGATCATGAATCAAAAAATCAACCTGTCAGTCTTTGGGAAATGTAGTTAAATCTACCGAAGTAATACATTGAAGATCATGAAGTTAAATGTGCTGAATGATCTGTTGAATTTGCTATTGCATGTTTGGCTCCCAGAAAGTTGTTCCTTAAAAGACAAACAAACAAACCTTTAAATCACAATTCTATTTCTTTATTTCTCTCTTTGCATGCCAGACTTTTAAGAAGAACTTTGCATGGTCATCTCCAGCAGGAGGTAGCAGAAGAGTGCTGAAGTTGGTGATAGAAATTGAGCTCATTACCTGATCATAATTAATCTGTATGTGATTACAACATCCATGTTGGCACAATTAACATTAATTTAAAAATATTGAACATGGATGTGTCAACCTAAATAGCAAACAGAGAGAGGCTCTCTAAAAGTGAAAGATATTTATTGAGGCATGGGACACTGCAAAGGGCACACGTGTGCCTTAGTAAACTATGCACACATTCAGGGAGGTAAAGGAAGGCTATGATTTAAAGAAAAAATGAGGAGTATGACATAATTATTTTAAAATGATTATTCTTGGCTACAATGATCTATAACAAAGATGATGCTACTCCAAGGTTGGACAGGCAGTTTTTGGGGTGATGTCCTCGCAGAAGTACTTTTTGGTGTAAGTTCTTGAAAGCCTTTGTGCAAGGGTGTGGTTTTTGCAATCTTTTGCGATAGTTTTTATTGTCAGGCATACAAACATCAGAACTATCTCTTCATAGCTTTCCTCAGCTCTATTTGTTAGAGTTTTTTTTTCTTTGTATTTTTTTTTTAACATGAGTGACTCCATTTTGATACTGACAATTTCCAAAGAGACAGTTCAGATTTTTCTAAAAGGCCTAGCTATTCGCAAATAACCAAACATCATAGTCATCAGGAAATTTGGAAAACTCAGAATTTCTTAAACTGCAGGTCTATTGTCTATTATTTAGGATTACCCGATTTCAAAGCTAGAAAATTTATTAACTGTCTATTTTACAGAAAAAGATACTCTTGAATAAATCCAATTATATTAGATACTGAAGGTTGATTTTCCTGAGTTTCAAGGCTGTCCGAATTATACAATGGCTAACCTGGACTGCAGGTGAAAATCGCCAAGGAAGACTTAAAAAACACATTCTGCCCAACATGAAAGGGCTTTCTGATGATTGTCGTGTGCAGCCATGGCCGAGATCATCCCTGGCTGGGCTAGCACTTGTGCCTCAGTGCAGTGCTCTGCCTAAGTATTAAGCGAGTGAGCTCAGTTGTTGCCAGAAAAACGAAGTTGGACTCAGCAGAGCTTCTCTCTTTCATTTCACATAAGCCTGCTTTGTTTGATGCATTACTGAGCCGGGAAAGGTAGAGTGGTGCCTATGAGAAAAAGAAAACACTCAGAGAAAATGACAGCCCACTTAGGCCTCTGGCATGAATTGCTACTTTAAAGAAGGAGAAAAAATCTTTTTTGGAATCCGAAAAGCAAATTGCTCACCTCTGCTTACATTAAACAAACAAACAACTAATTCTTGGGTTTCTGCAGTATTTGTAATATTCCCTTTTATGTGCAAGGTCCGGTGTGCCTCGATACTGTACTGTAGACAGATGTTGTCAGGTCATCTTCCAGGCAAACATAGAAAGGAATAGTGATCAACACTCAGAGGTGCTAATCCACACAGGCCAAGAGCCCCAGCGATTTTCATTCCGTGTTCTTCCTGCTTCTATTTTTAGAAAGTCTGAAATACACACACTTTATGTAGCCTGCATTGTGGAAAGGCCATCAGTGTTAGCTCCTCAGGTGGAAGGACACAGAGAATGCCCTCCTTCCATCTCCTTCTTTCCCTAATTGTGTGATGGTGAAAAGTTCCTGACTTGTTGACCCTCTATTTCCTTGTCTGCAAAAATATGGCTACATGTGTCTGTGAGGGCCAACTACCAAAAACAAAGAAACAAAAAGCCAAATATAGTACCTGGCGAAATAAAAGGTACTATATTATTACTCTTTGCTAGTATTATACCTACACTTCATTTTCAAATGTAAAAGGCATCACACTTAAACTAGTAACCACTATTCCTTAGGGAACTGTAGTAAACTGACCCTTGATCATCTTCAGGATAAAAGACTTAGCATTGCATCTGTATCTCTTTGTGGTCTGCTACCATGTACTTGCAATACCCACTGAGGGATATTCTTAGGTCCAACTAAATTGAGATGTGCAGAACCACCAGGAGCCATGCTTGGCACCCAGTGTGCTTACACAGGGCAGAAGCCACAGCATGAGTGTGAAGAGACAGCTCTCCAAGGAGTTTCTGCATGTCTTGCACACCTTCTGTTGTGACTGTCTTGTCAAGCATGATGTATGATGCATGGGTTATCCATGGATGGCCACGTGGCTCCAATGCACCCTGTAATCGTGCTCTAGGATAAACAATGGGATTCTGTTCAGCCTTTCTCCTTTAAAGCCAGCCTGATTCTGAGGCTTTTAGTAGAAGACACTTGGGACTCTGCAAGAGGAGAAGGCTTCCTGCAATTCCAGTGTGGAGCTAGGTGAAGGTGTAGATGTGAGGACCTCAGGAGGGTCTGCCACAGCCACAGTTCAGGATTGGTCCTTCTGAATCCTGCAGACTTGACCTGGTAATAACCTTTCCACAATCATCTTGACTAAGAAACTAGAATGCCCCATCATCTGCCTGATTCCAAGGCCTCCTGACTGTGTTGATGCCAGGACTCCCTCTGCAAGTCCCCATGTGGCCACCTGCACCTGAATGTCACCGTTTGTCCCTCCTGCAAACCCCACCTCCCACCACCACCACCTTGTGAAATCCATGTACTGGGAAGACTCTTTGCCTCCACCAGCACCTAGGATCCCACTGCCTGCCTGTGCAGGTTGCTGTTTAAACCAACAATCATCAAAAAGGACAAAGAAGGGCATTACTTAATGATAAAGGATTTATTTCAACAAGAAGACCTACCCATTCTAAATGTATATGCACTCAACATTGGAGCATCTGGATTCATAGAACAAGTTCTGAGAGATCTCTGAAGAGACTGAGATAACCACTAAATAACAGTGGGAGATTTCAATATCCACTGACAATGGGTATTGTGGCAAGTTTGTGGCTTGCATCCTCTGAAGTCATGGCTTGAACAAACCCCACAGATTGTTGAGGCAGAAAACTAACAAAGATATTCAGGACCTAAACTTGACACTTGACCAAATGGACCAAACAGAAATCTATCTAATACTCCACCCAACAACAACAGGGTATACAGTTTTCTCATCAGCACATGACACATACTCTAAGACTGACCACATGTACATCCATAAAGCAATTCTCAACAAATTCAAAGAAGTGCAATCATACCAACCACACTCTCAGACTATGGCACAATAATAATAGAAATTAATACCAAGCAGCTCTCTCAAAACCATATAAGTATATAGCAATTAAACAACCTGATCTTGAATGACTTTGAGGTAAAGAATGAAATTAAAACATAAATTTAAAAAAGGATATTTGAATCTAATGAAAACAAAGATACAATATACCAAAATCACTAGGACACAGCAAAGTCAAAGTTAAGAGGAAGGTTTATATGCTAAATGCCTACATCAAGACATTAGAAAGATCCTAAATTAATTATCTAACATACCTGGAGGAACTAGAGAAACAAGAGCAAACCAACTCCAAAATTAACAGAAGAAATAAACAATATCAGAGCTGAATGTAACAAAATTGAGATGTGAAAATCCATACAAAAGATCAATAAAACCAAAAGTTTATTCTTCATAAGAATAAGCAAGATCAATAGACTACTAGCTAGATTAATTAAAAAAATAAGGTCCAAATAAACACAATGAGAAGTGACAAAGAGGACATTACCACCGAATCCACAGAAAAAAACAAAAAACCCTCAGAGACTATTATGAATACCTCTGTTAACAAAAACTAGACCACCTAAAAGAAATGGATAAACTACTGGAAACATACCACCACCCAAGAATTAACCAGAAAAAAATTGAAATTTGGAACAGACTAATAATAATTTCCAAAAACGAATCAGAAAAATAAAACCTGTATTAGTTCATTTTCACACTGCTATAAAGCACTACCTAAGATTGGGCAATTTATAAAGAAAAGATGTTAAATTGACTCCGTTTTGCATGGCTGGGGAGGCCTCAGGAAATTTCTAATCAAGGCAGAAGGTGAAGGGGAAGGAACGCACATCTTGCATGGCAGTAGGAGAGAAAGTAAAGGGGGAAGTGCCACACACAAATTAACCATGAGATCTTTTGAGAACTCGTTCATTACCATGAGAAAAGCAAGAGGGAAGTCTGCCCCCATGATTCAGT